TTTCTAATATCGCCCAGTCCTAATTCTAACCCATTGTAAATCTTTCATTGAGAATATTTTCCATCATCACTGTGGTCGGAGCTGTCGGGAGCAGAATTCGTATCAACCAGCGGCCACTAGGATTCGAACCCGGGTCTCCTCAATGAGAGGTGAACTTTCTATCCCCTGGGCCACCACGACTCAAGAAATGTACTTTGTCGCAGCGTTTTATAAGATTATGTAATTGATTTATTAATTATTAATAGATTTCCAAATGTGTTTACTAAATTACAACTTTAAAATTTTCGAAGCTACTTTGGCTCTTGAAAATCCTGATTTATATGAGGGTGATATTGCTGGTATTGATGGACCTTTGGTAAGTATTGTTTTATCATTAAGTAATCGCATTTTTTTAAACAAAATTGATCTTATAATTTATATCATCTACAAAAATGTTAGATGACAAAATATCTTATTATAAAAAGTATAAAATGTTGCGCACTATTGTCTTTTTGTTCTCCTTCAATATGCTTACCAAAGTTATGTTTTGGAAAAGATATGAAAATAAAACTGCATTTTGAAATTAAAGAATTAATGTTTTAAAAAAAAAGTTTAATAAACCTTAGAAATTAGGCATCTTTATGGTTGAAAGTGAACATTTTCCTCCACCGTAAATATCATTTTCAATTTTTAATTTTTTTTTAAATCGAAAAATAAATTTTTTATGAAATAAAATTCTGTATTATCTAAAGGAACGCAATTTAACATCAAAAATACTTTTACTGTTAATTCTTTACATTTTTGTATTGTTTAAATTTCCTATTGCATAAATTATTCATTTTCTTTAAAACAATTATGAGGAAAACCACAATATTTTTCAATAAAAACTTTATTAAGGGCATTTTCAATAAACGGATTATAACTGTCACCTACTCAGTCGTTTTAATACATCAATTAATTAATTAAATTTAATAACTAATTAAATAAAAATAGAAATATGCAGTGAAAATAAACAGAGAAAAATGTGTATCGAGGTTGTATCTTGTATGTATCTTGTATCTCTGAAACAGCTGATTTCAAAAAAACAAAGTTCTTTATAATTTTAATTACTGTCTACTTCGAGTACTTGCCGCTAAGTTTCATATACATATTAGTTATAGAGTTATTTAGTTTTATTATATAGGTAAATTAATAATAATTTTACGTTTAATTAAAAATAATAAAAATTATATTGAATAATAATAATAAATGTTGGAAATAATGTTAATAAATTATGCATTCACATTATTTTATCTCAATAGACTTAATTTCAAAGCTGTTAGTTGCTTTATTGCAATCTATTTCAATTTCTTTCAATCACTTGATTTTATTGTATAGTTTCAAGTGATATTTGTTATTGTTTTTTATAGGACATTGAATATATATATATAATAGTATTGGTTTTACGTTTGAAAAACGCACTGTTAGAATTTTCATTCTTAAAATTACGCTAAATTAACTGGCAACAGTTCGTGTACCGAATTTACTTGAAACATTACGGTTAGGAATCTTTTTTTACCTATACGGGTGTGAAAATGTTTAACGATTGGCATGGTTAAGAAATTGTGATATGGTTAAAAAATATAAGGATTTGAAACCATTTACTGCTAGCATGGTTTCCAAACCGTAAAAATGAAATTTAACTGGGCATTAGAGTTACATTGAATTTAGGTTATGTTAGCCTTTTGGTGAAGTAATGGACCTTGTAGTTAGATTGTAAATTAGTTGTTTTTGTTCAAGTGAGCCATGGAATGCAGTTGAACTAGTTAATCTAGTGGTGCCATCTAATGTTAAAGAGGGGAAATACTAGATGCTTTTTTTCTTTCTTTTTCATTAAAAAAAAAACTAATGGTGCAAAACTGCAGTTTCAGAATGTTGACAGTGTCGGTCATATGGAACTGTGAGAAGCAGATTAAATTTTAAAACTGTATGGAGTATTTAAAATTAAATAATTAATAAGAACGTTTTCCTTTTTTTTTGTCTTTTTTTAACCAATAAAATGTTTTTATAATTGAAAATAATGAATGCGTAAATATATTCTGCAACAATGTTACGCTATATTTTTATTAAAAAAAATGCTGTTTTATTTTTGTTGAGGGGAAAAAACGTATTTTATGCATCAGTAAAAGTGCATTTTTATGGACGAGTATATGACCTACAATATTGAGAATCTTTTTTGTTATAGTTAGTTTTTTTTCCTCAATGTGTTTAATGTTTTATTGTTCTTCGTTTTTCTTGCTTCTTCAAGATGTTCTTTTTACACCAATTTTTGCTAAACGAACGTTGCAATGAAACAAAAACAGTGGTTTTTTAAAATGTTTTATATTTATGAAGGTAATACAGCTGGCTTAATTCTGAGAGCAATGGATAATTACCATAATAACACCTGCGTTCAATTTGTTCCAAGAACAGACGAAAGGAACTACATCATACTCTTTTCAAGGAAAGGGTAAGTCAAGTCAAAAATGTTTGACTCTCTCTGTGTGTATATATATATATATATATATCAACTTAACCTTGAAACTCACAGAAGGATGAAAATGAATAAAAATGAGTTTAATGCTTCAAACATAATTTATTTCGCTTTCGTCACCGCAGGTGTTATTCTTATGTGGGTAAAATTAATGGTCAGCAGAAATTATCACTCGGTAACGGTTGTCACTACTTTGGTACAATAATCCATGAGTTGGGACACGCCGTTGGATTCTACCACGAACAGAACAGATCAGACAGAGATGAATACTTGATCATTTATCTGGAAAATGTCGCACAAAGTTAGTAAATATTTTGTTTCTCTTTTTTAAAAAAAAACACGATGAGCTCTTTAATAATAAACTTGTTCTTAGATATGTGTAACTGGGATATCTGCAAAAACAGTATGCAAATATGAAAATTATTTGCTGGTGTTATTAAAATAGTCGAAGAGTTTATTTGATGACTCACGTAAGTGATATTTTCAGATGTTTGTAAATGAATAACATAAAGTGGTCGCACAATATGGTTATGTTTAAAGTACAAAAACTGTTTCTGCTTTCGCTTTAGTTTCAACATAACTAATTTTACTTTATTTTGTATCCATATAACTGGCGTTGAACAGCCGTCCTAATTCTGAGTTTACAGTTATCGATGTTCAACTGCATAGACTTCATTTTGAACCTGAACCCAGATGGCAAGGGAATTCTAGGATCAAGCATTAGGACAAACCATTCAGAATACGTAATTATTGAGAAAGTACTTTTAGAAACGGGTCTAGTATTCGTCACTGTGTAAAATTTAAAACGGATGTTTCACTTTTAGATAATGACAATGATAGGCCTAATTTGCCTAATGGTAAGCCTGTTTTAAAGTTATATACTGTGACACTGGCGAGAAAACTGAATGTTAACTTAGTGGAAACGCAAAAAAAAAATATGTGTTTACTGATAATGGGGTGCACATATGCATACTGCTAAGCGCACAATTCTAATAGTGATCCAGAGCAAATGTGCATACGTGCAAGTTTATTGCGAAATGTATTTGTTCACAAAAAAAATGTAGACCATTTTTTTTACTGGATGAAAACTATTGTTTGTATTATTGCATTTTTTGATTATTTCGAACCAGTGGCTCTAAAAAATAGCCGACGATATTAATAAAGGGATATAGAAAAATGTTAAGTGATAGCATTTTCAGGTTATCTATGCTTTTCTATGGAAAGCAAACAATTTCTTTTTTACAAGTTTTAAAACTTGTTATCACAAAGTTCATCAGCTTGGTAATGTAAGCAGTTTTTTACAGCGCCATCACTTTGCGAAGTTGTTTTGAAATTAAAAAACAGTATGTAGTATAATCTGGTACAAAATTTTTAAACATTTCTGCCAAAATTTCAGTTGAATTGGTTTAAAATGCTACAGAAAACATAGTATTTAGAATTACAAACAACGGTGCTATCTGTTAACGAATGCTGCAAATACATTCGAAATTTAGTGTATTCTATTCTTATCAACTAATTTTACATTTTATGTTATTTAATTCATATTTTTCTTTTATTGGTACTTCACATCTTCGATGATTCAAACATTAGGAAAAAAGATGAAAAATATATGTTTCAATGCTTACGAAAATTTATCAAAATACGAAATATTTACTTTTAAAATAAAATTGGAATTATTAAGGATTAAAACTGTAGGGGAAAGTTCGAAGCTATTTAACACGTACTTTACGCATGAAATTGTATTTATTTATGTTTCAGTTCAACTCTATTACTTTTTATAATCTAGATGTTCAGCATAACTTTCGAAAGCTTAGTTCGCAAGGGAATATCTTGTACAATACATTTGATTACGACTCCATCATGATTTACGATAACAAAGCCTTTTCCAAGAATGGAAAAGAAACGATGGTGGCCAGAAATGGACAGAAATTGTTTCACGCAATCAAAAAGCCAGGAATGACCAAAAATGATATTGAAAGAGTAAACAAAATGTGCAAATGTAACTCTTATTAATAAATGATAAGAATATAATGTTTCATTATTTCTGTGCTGCTTTTATTCGAGATTTCTAATTTTCTTCAATTTTTTTTCTTAATTTGCATTTAATTAATCTCTACAGGAGATGTACTGGGTAAGCAGATTTTACCAACCAAACTTTCATTGTTTGCTTATTATCCGGACACGGTTGACGAATTTCAGTATGCAGTACCATGGTACCTGTACTGGGTAATTGAACCTAAGTTTCCAGTTTCGTAGAACCAGTTAAGGTTAATTTTACCCGTCATCCCCTGTATGTAACATTTATTTTTGCTCGACGCAATCACACATATTAGAATTACGAAATTGTGAATAATTTTACGAATATTAAAACAGCTCTTACCTACCAGACTTTCATTGTCTGCTTATTACTCGGACACGGTTGACGAATTTCAGTTTGTATTTTCAGTCAATTTTGCAGATTTAAAACAGAATAGAAGGAAAATATGATTATAAAAAGAGGAATAGAAGATAAACAGAACCTAGTAAATAAAAGATAATTGGTTAAACTGAAATTTGTAAGCGTCGTTACGATATCTCTGCTAACACTCTATTTGGGTTATACTTCTGATACGAAACTGCTTCATAAATTGTCAATGTACAGGGCAAAAAAAAATTGACCACAATGAGTAACTTTTGTTCTAATGATTGGATCTTCATGTTCTTGGACTCAATCTAAATGACTCGAGGGGTGACCTTAAATAGGCTAGTTAATAGGTGCAGACCATATTTTAAGTTACAAAATCTAACAAAAACCGTTTTTTTGAATAAACATACCTTTTTCTTTTTTTAACCGATTCGGATTTCTGATCCCATAAATATAAGGAGTAGCTGCAATTTGGGATAGATGGTCTTAATAGTTTGGTCGGGAGGGAGTTTCCAAAGTTTGGACCATTTAATGTTCATTTTACCTTTTGCTCATTTTGCACACATTTATAAAATTTTTAATATTTAAAGATAATTCCATGCGAAAAATAGCTTTTAATAAATATTATTTTTCATTACTTTATTTAATGATGGTCGAAAAAAATTTGATTTGTAAGGTGCAGAATTTCTTGCATCATTATCAAGAATACAATTTTACATTGCAAAATGCAACATTTTCGCAAATTCCATTAAATAGTTCTAGAGAAATCAAAATTTAAATATCTGACTTGATCGAAATTCGATTTCTCAGGTACTATTTAACTGATTTTCTTTCACATTTTGTATTTTGACGGGTAAATTTTAATTTTTTAAAATGATGCAAAAAAAAAAAAACTGTGCACTTCACAATGAAATTTTTTTCCAACAATTGGTAAATAAAATCAATATTTACTAAAAGTTATTTTTTGCTTGGAATTAAGTTTGAATAACCGAATTCTATAAATGTACGCAAAAATATTTTAATTAGTTTACAAAATTCAAAATATATGCAAAAAGGGAAATTAACAATAAAGGGTCAAAGCTTTGAACTGCCCTCTTCACCAAACTATCTGTACCATATTTCCCAAATCAAGGTTTTTTAGGTCAACAATCAGAATCCTTCCAATAAAAAAATTTAAAAAATGTGGTTATTCAAAGAAAGTATGTTTTTGTTTCTGATTTCGAAACTTAAAATGTCAGGTTTGCATTTATTTAAGAGTAGGTAAGGTTTAGGACAGAATGGATAAATCCACGGTTTAAACCTTCCTGTCCAAAACCCCTTTGTCTAAAACTGTCCAAATCCCTTTAATTCAAATTATGTCAGAATTTAAAAAAAATATTGTGAAAAATAAAAGGTTAATTTTTAAAGAAGTTAATTTTTTTATTACATTAAATTTTTTAATTATTTTTAATATTGCATTTATTTATCCTTATGCAAAAGCATAATTTATCAGTATTAAAAGCATATTTATTCATATTTGAGGGATATGGTATTCTTTTTTGTTGTTCAATGAATTAAGGAGTTTCAAAAGTTATAAATCTTTTATTATATTATTTTCTTTTTGTAAGTTAAAAAGTAAATTGTGTAAAAGGTATCAAATATTTATTAATATATGATGTAATTATTATATGTTATAATGATGCAATTATATACAATTATAAGTCAAGTATATGGAATGACATAAGCAAGATTGTATTGGAGTTGGATATTCGATTTCGCAATGATAATTTTTATTTTCGTAGATGGGAAGAGAACAGTACAGACGTTTAAAGATGTTTTGTTTTACTACGCAAAACCTTTCTGTAGAGATTTTATAAAATTTTCGTTTTAGTATTGAATTTCGTGGGACTTTTTTTCTTCTACTGAATGAATGTTATGGAATGCGTTGTTTTGAACCGAATGCTAAATGTGCGTGTCACGGTAAATATGTAAATATGTTGTGAGTGGAAAGAGTTTATATGATTGTGGAGTCAATTTTTTATTTCTGTTACTTTTGTTAAAATGATAAGACGTATGATTTCAAGGTATTTTAAAGAAAAAAAAATACGATACACATTTTAACCCTTTGGCGGTTATGAACGAGTTCAGCTCGCAATCGAATCGTGCCTCATAATGCGCGCAAACGAGTTCCGCTCGGGAGCAAGATTTTGACCGTAATGGTTAGTAAGGAGCACTACTCGCGTTGTGAAATTTTTTCCCAATGTGCGCTGACGAGCTGAGCTCGTTCGCCATTATTATTCTGCATTGACTATGTTAAAAACGAAAAGTACGTAAAAGCTGCTATTTATGTACTACCAATACTTTAAGAAATTTTTAAAATGCGTGAGGCGAGCTATCTACCGCATCCAGAGATGCCAACTTGCTCCGCTTTGTAAAATAGTATTTCCTAGCGAAAGTCAAGTTGCTTTCAGTTTAGTATTTTTCCTTTGATATAATTTTTTCACCACTAAATATCAAAATCTATAAGTAACATATAAAATGCAACGTTAAAGCAACAATCTAACTGGTTACTCTATTAAAAAGTAGGCGTAACTGTCCTGCTCTAACGAAATTTACTACATAATTTGATACCACTTTATTATAACAATTCCAGAAGACGGAGCAGTTGGCATCGCCAGAGAAGGGTGACATTCTCGGACAAGCGACTAGGGCAGGGGTGGCGAACCTTTATACACCAACGTGCCATTTTTTCCAAAAAATTGTTTAATGAGGTCATAGACGTGCCGTCAAATAATTTTGCCTTCGTGATTATTGGGAAAATAATAATGCTAAATACTATCAACTCAAAACTCTTTAATTACATTGAAAAAAAAAAATATTTGCAGTGTCTCAGTTATATGCGTAATTCAACTTAAAGTAACATCAGTGTGACTTCTGTTGTTGCAGATTAGATGACAAATAACTTATATTAGGTTGTAAGATGTTAGTTTAAGCAGGACTGTTTATTTCTTTTTTTGTTATTTATTTATTGTTAGCTTGTTTCTTATGGTTATTAATTGCTTTTTTAGCATTAATTGTTAATTTTTTTCATTAATAATTGTTTGCTATTTTGCGTGTTTTTGATAAATTTTAATTTAATTGTTACATATGCTTCATAGTGTAATAGCATTTGAGTAATAACAATTCATAGTGTAATAACAAATATGATCGGTGGCGTGCCCAAAATATTGTGTCGGGTGACATAAATGGCACGCGTGCCATTGGTTCGCCATCCCTGGACTAGGGGAAGGACGATTCCAAAACTTAGAGTTTCGTCGGAAGAGTAAAAATAGGGAAAGAGGGTAATTACACTGAGAATATTGGGGATTTTTTTGTTCGCTTCCTTGGCGTATTGGCTAAATTTCAAAGGTTTACCGTCACCGTTCGCATTTGTCTTTATGTTTATTTTTTGCGACGTTTGCTGTCATTTTCGAACTCGTATAAAATATGTTATTTATTGAATTTTTTCGTTATGTCTTTGATTTTATTATTGCTATCTGTTTTGCTTTTGTTTTTAAATTTTTTTTTTTTACTTTAAAGTTAGTTAGGCAAAGTATGAAACGCCGGCATTGTATAGAATGCTGGATGATTTTAGGTAAAGTATGAAATGTGAGAATTATACCGGGCAGGGGAACTTGACCTTAAAAAAACATCAGTGTAGCGTATACCGAGCAAATATATACCGGGCAATGGCACTTGACCTTAAAAAAAATAAGTGTAGCGTATACCGGCCAAATATATACCGGGCAATGGCACTTGACCTTAAAAAAACATCAGTGTAGCGTATACCGGGCAAATATATACCGGGCAATGGCTCTTGACCTTAAAAAAACATCAGTGTAGCGTATACCGGGCAAATATATACCGGGCAATGGCTCTTGACCT